TCCGTTAACAATTACCTAGTAATTTCTTTCTAAAACATATCATTTAATCGTCTAAATTAACTATTCAATTTTAAAACAATAAAAATTACGTATGTTACATAGAGCAAGCATTTTAGAAAAGCATGACTCAAAAAAGTTAACTGTTCACCAAACGGACATTTTTCTACAAACATATTTATTTGAAATTACCAAACCGCATAATTACCATACAAATGTATTACATACATTTCCATTCATGTGGTTATTCATAAGTCTTATCGATAAATTCAATGATTCATATAAGCGAGGTGGTACCGACCTATTCGTTTGAGAGGTTCCTCCGTGAGCGGGCATAGCTGAACTCTGTTTACCACAATCACTAACGTAAACTGCATAATACACTTTCACACACTATCACTGGAATGCATAACGTGCAATCCGCTGTAAAGACCGTTTTCAACTAAGCTTATTAACATAATTCCGTCAATTAATGTGCCTACAACTGACGGAAGAGACAATTAAAAGTCTACCGCACAACAGTTATCCGTGAATAATCCTTAGAGAACTAATGATAATTATAAACTTCAAACTGTTACAATATGTAGCAATAAAGCGCTTTACTAATAAGCTTTGAAAGCTTATTATTTGTAGCGTGCTTATAATTACGATGTTCTACGTTAGTCCATGTTTTAAAAGTCCGTTTGTGTTTTCTTGGACATAAACTGTCTCCTTTCAGAAGAATGCGTTTTGGCACCGGCACCAGAAGTTACCGATATCCAGATTTAGCATTCTGATAAACGAGCTAAGTCTTATCCATAGTTGCTCCCCTCACACTTTGAAATCAATTTTCCTTTAGTTATTTTTTTTATCTCTTCGAGTTTGGTATGTTAGCTTATAAGTGCTTGTCACATTAAATCTTGTATTTTATTTTTTCTTATGTAACAATGTATTAGTATGCGTTGGCTATTATAAATAAAGATAAATTACACCAATTATTTTATATGCAGGAGATATCCACAATTTAAACTCTCGCGATTAAATTGCGCCTGTACCGTAGTGCGAACTAAGCGTTAATTGTAAACACGACTCCCGCTGATGCGCAGCCGCAACGGGAGAGCATACGAGGACAAATATAAACAACTATTCCTGGAAATGGCTATCGTAATACGATCATGAAATTCATTTTGTCTGGACACTTTTGCTCAAATGCTTGACAAAGTATTAACAACGCACAGAACTAACATTATTCATACAAATATTTGACGTGACAAATACGCTGGCAGTTTTAACTAGGGCCTCATTTGTACCCGTTTGACTGTGCTTTTAAATAGTTCAAAATGATAAAGGTGCATCTATACGCTATAACACTTCTATTTCTTCTTCTCCTCTCACTTGCATTAGATTCTATATCACTATCCATTCTTTACTTAAGTACTTTTGGATACGTATGTTCGTCAAATATCTCTTAATTTACATTCACCGCCTGTTCTTAAACCAAGGGCGTAGAACAGAACTGTCAAAAAAGGAGAACGGAAATATTTTGATCACAATTTAAACAAACAAATTAACAAGGGGAAGGTGATAACTTATTTACACATCAATTAGGCACATTGCCTTTAAACATTTAGTCCATAAGTTTTGACAACAATTATAAATAACTTAACTGTTCTTATGACATCATGATAATTAATATGACATTTGCATGCCTATATTAAAAATGGCTGATTGTGTACTTTTTTATAATTAATCAATTTGAATGTACTTTCTTTGTAAATAAACTATTTATTATTTAACAAATGTGAATACCTTATCATTTTAGTACCTAAAGTGCAATATTTATGCAATGATATATTTTCGGCCGTATCTATGTATATATATATAGTCATCGACCAGCCCCAATCCAAACACCTACAATTTTAGAATGTACATATACAAAATATATATACATAGATTCTTTAGATTAGCAATTGGCAAAGTGTTCGTAAACAGTTTCAGAATTATAGATTGAATCCAGAGACTCTAAAATCTTAATAAAACGGTTTAATATTTCAATTTCCTACTACAATTTGCAAATTTAATGGCTATTAGCCTTAGATAACAAAGAAAGTGCAACTAATTTAATAATTAACAGTTGAAGAGAAATTTTAAATCATTGTATAATTAATCCACTTCGCATTGCATATTTCAGTATTATTTTCGTTGTTTAATGTACGCTTTTGTATAATTGTATGTCTGTGTATAGTCTTAACAAATTTAAAAAAATAACAATTTCAATAAAAAAATTGCATTACATATAAGCTTCATATTTTAAAGCTTTTTAATGACAATGTTACAATAGAGAAACAAATCGTAAAATATAGGAAAGAATACAACACACACTCATAATATGACAAAGATTCTGCCCTTGGGTGCCAGAATTCTAGCAAAGGTTCTTCCAAGTTCCAACCTTATCAATCGACTCAGTTGTTATAAGAGAGGTTTACAATTAGATGAATTATTTACATTAAGAAGGCCTACAAAGACTAAATGTATGCAACTATAACTGACAATGTTACTTACATTTTATAAGTACGACCGAGTCATGTGGTTCGCACTGCACCTGGGTGGCGTTCATGGCCAGCAGCCCGCCGCTGCCGGCCCCGCCACCCACGCCTCCTGCTTCCCTGTAAAAGAACGGTACATTGTCAAAAACTATACATATATACTTTGTCTTAAAGTCGGCATAAGCTTAAGAATTTTAAAATTTTAATACAAATAATAATAATTTTAGTACTTAAGAAATTAATATTGTTGAAGATATTGCACATAGATACTATCTTAATCTCTATTAGTTGATACTGGCAGGATTTGCTCTCTACAAAACAGATGTTTTTTCCAATAGTTCTAAATGTCTCACTGTCATTGTCAATATTAATAAAATTATATAAAAGCAAAAATTTATGAAAATGTCTCATCAAACACAATACCCTACAGGAAGGGGCGTCCATAAATTACTAGTAAATTTTCTGGACCCTCCCCCCTGAGTCATGAGATTTTATTCCCCTCCCAATACGTGAGATTTTTCAAAATTGGGTTTCTTATAAAGCATTGGATTGTTATTGAAAAAAAAAAAATGCTTCGTGTTTTATTTACGACTAAAACAAATAAGTGAAATTGAGGTTTAGATATGGAGTAGGGAAGTTGGGTTGTAGGGTCAACCGTTTTCCTAAATTTTTTTCAGAAAAAAAATTGGTATATTTGCTGAGACCCCTCTCTCCAACGTAAGATTAAATGAGATTTGACTCGACCCCTCCCCTTAAACACCTCACGTAATTTATGGACGCCCTCATAACAGGACTTCAGTTAAGAAGTACATGACAAAAACAGCAATGGAAACTATAAATAACATTCTATTATATAAATTGCAACACAATGATAAAAATATCAATCTTATTGCAGACTTTTAACTAAAATACTATTTTTTCTCTTTCTATAATTGAATATATTTCTTTTGAGAATTGTGTAACAAAAAAAAAAGATTAGTAATTATAATAAGAACAGTGCAATTAGTCTGGTTTATTTTTTAAGAGAAAGAGGGAATTATGTACAAATATCTATGCAGCTTAGATTCCTATTTCCTCCATCTTATAACACATTAACACCAATTAAATTTCACCTTGAATAGTATGAAAGCATGTTTGTTTTCTGGAATGTAAGCTAATGATATTTTTATTGATGATATTTTATGATAATATTATATAATGATATTTTATGATAATATTATATAATGATATTTTATTATTAAATGTATTAGAGATAAAATCATGATTCCCTTTTATATATGTCAATAACCATAATTTGATTAAATTTATTTCTCAATGACAAAAAAAATATAATTAACATATAATTTTAGAATGTTAAGCTACACAATGGCTATATAAAAAGATCTTTGACATAATTGTAAGCTGAATTCTGTATAGGTAAATACACACAAACAGAAGAAATAGTTATAGTCATGAAAATCAATGATATAATAAAAAAAATATGTAAACATGTTTCCAATTATTATTTGAATTAAATTATTATATAAATATTTTTTTATAGACCTTGGTGTTGTTATTGTTAATTAGAAATTCATAGAAATGTTGAGCTACTAATATTGTTTTTTTTTGTAAAGGTGTAAGTCAAAACACAATTAATAATAAGTCAAATAAAATAATAAGTTTCATTCAAATATTTTAATGCCAAAATTACTTTTGAAACTTAAAAGTACAAAAATTCTAACTCATAAAACCTTGACCTATTGTGGTAATAGTTCATGTACTCCGTTTTAAATAATATCATTGAAGTATAAAGTATATAATATCTACTAAACAAATCACTATTCTACTATAACAATATTACTGAATAGGCTTTAGGTATGCCTAGTGATTGAAATGTTTAATTCATAGATAGAAGACAATTATATACATTTGTGATCATAATACATAAAGCCTGATTGTGTTTGACTTATAAATATAAACAATATACATATGTTTATAGGATGATTAAACAAAGCTGTCATAAATTATTAGTTTTAAATGTTATTATCAACATAACATTGGATGAACATGACCTACACCTTAACAAAAACAAAATTTAGTAAACCCAAGTTGTAATTTACAATATATCTTTTGTTATTTATGGCAGGATTTTTTTATGATTAGATTTATGATATATTAGATAATATAGTATCATATGTTTAGATTTCATCTGATTTTAATTATCACAGAAATTATTTTAATATCTATACACTGAATTAAAAATTACTGTATTCAAATTGTAATCACTATTAACTTTTTGCTTTGCACTTAATTATAGTATCATTAATTTAAAGATAACTAAATCACTTTAGCTTACATTGACCTCCAAACCAAGCACAAAATGATAACTGTATATTGTTTAGGTTTTTTTAAGGTTTAAGACTTTAATTTCTGTTTCATGTAAATGAGTTGGTAACAATCTGTCTCAAAAAAACTGCTATAAGCATATCCTTTATCACAATGGACTGGGGAATTGTTACAAAGACTGATCATAATAGATTGCTATCAAATCTTGTCCCAGATATCCTGCCTATAATTTTCTATCTTAGATCGTTTCAAACTGCATTCAACATCAACATCGGTTTCACATGCAAACCACAGGTTACGTTCAACAATATTGGGTCAAAGTACGATGAACTTAGGCGCGCTTTACTCACCGTAAAATGCTTATTGCCGGCACTTGCTTCCCTGAGGAATGCGTGCAGGCTTGGCTCGCATTCGCTAGGAAAGCATTACCCACAGAAATATGCACGTTATGAAAGTTTCCACAACGGAAACCGGCCACGACAACAATCACTGATCACTGGTGTCCACGGTACCTGACAGGAACTCAAAATAGCACCACTCTTGGTTTTATTCACTTAGACAAAATACACTGGGAATCCGAGTAATGCACACTGGTACGGTTGAAAACGTCCACAACGGTAATATGTTTTGATTCAAAATGTTTAAACAATGTCATCGATAAATTTTCACACGCGTATGTAAAAACGGTTATATTTGTTTGTTTTACACAAAAGAATATGAAAGAAACGTCAATTCTACTACGACATCCGAAAAACACAAGCAAGAACGCGCAGCTGGCAAGCTATCGCCTCTCGCTTCAATACGGGTGTGATGCGGGGAGCAGGCGGGTAGAGGGGCCGCGCTTGCAGCGCCCCCCGGTCGCTGTCTCGACTCTCGACGTGCAGTAATTTGTTTTGCGTTTCTTGCTTTGATTCAAAATGCAATGTGCATTATTTTTCGATTAAGTACATTTACTTTTATACAAAATTAATAAATGTCCTTTGTTCGGTAGGTATGTAACAAAAGAAAGAATGTAACAAAAATGGAAATGTGCTGAGATTTGGGTACCTACTTATAAAAAACACCGAGCTCCTGGCTATTGTATCTTCGAATAAATTTTTAAACTTTATCGCGATAGGATTAAGCAAAATAAACAATGTCGCTATTATGTGGATATAATATGATAAGGACGGTCCTAATTCGGATCTATACTGTTACTATATTTTACTGCTAAGTATTTCTTTGAACTTTGGTAAATTAATTTTAGAAATTGGTAGTTATAATTAGTGTAATTACTACCGATACCTTTAAATTAGCAGAGTTTAATTAATTACTAGAGGGCAAGTCAAGTCTCGACATTATGAGATTGGGACTACATAATTAATTAGGTACAAAACTACATGTTAAACCTATACCTGCTAATTACGTCATAACCTAGTAATTAACCTCACTTCACTTGCTATAATCTTTAAACACTGAAAGTCTTACGTACCTAATACGAAATTAAACATCTTTGCATGTTTTTATTCTATTTTAAATTATGTTTCGAACTCATGAACATTTACATTTATTTTTTTACTGTTTCTCTTATTTGTGGAACATGGAAGAAATAGCTTGGTAACGATATGGCAGTACCATGCTTTTTTTTTAAGTTTATTGTTTACTAGCTGACCGGGCAAACGTCGCTTTGCCAAGTATATCATTTATAATAAAAAAATAGGGGTTGATCGTAGAGGGGTGAAAGTTAGGGGTTTGTATGTATTGTTTAATGCTGTATCATAAAAAAATAAAAACAGAAAAAAATATCTAAAAATAAAAAAAAATATTTAGGGGTGGACTACCCTTAACATTTAGGGGGATGAAAAATAGATGTTGTCCGATTCTCAGACATACCCAATATGCACACAAAATTTCATGAGAATCGGTCGAGCCGTTTTGGAGGAGTATGGCAACGAAAACTGTGACACGAGAATTTTATATTAGATATTATCATTATTTATTCAAATAAATGAATAGGGGTAAAATTCTAACATTATGACTGTAATAATTTTGCAATTAATATTAAAACTAAACTGTTTTTTTTTAATTCTAAATGTCTTATGTAACTATTAGGTACTGTTTGCGTCATAGGTACACACTATTTGTTAAAGTCTCGTCTTTGTCTATCAACAGTAACTTCATCTACAAACACATCTTGTAAAATGTTAATCCTTAAGTTATGATTTTCTGCAAAGGAAAGTGCACGCGTGATCATAAATCTGCAAGCAAATTCCATGCAAAAAACAAGAGTTTTCGCACGACACACTTTCGTTCAATTTTCGAGAAAGTCATCCATCATCGATCTATCAAGGAAGGTTTCTCCGCAAAGGGAGGCCTCAACCCCTGTAATTACATACACTTTGTCGGAAGATGAGTAAATGCTTGAAATTCTGGTGAAAGTGAAGAATGCGACAGGTTGATCATAGCGTATCGCCACTGCAGGCCACGAACCGGGAAGCATTCCGCGTTGTAAACTCTACTTTCAATAAACTATATTACCTACTTTAGTAATGAGACGATTAATGACGTCTCGACAGTATAATACTGTATACGCATTTTCGATACGATCCAATCGGTATTTGGTACCATTATTGACAATGTTTTCTAGTTAATTCTGTCATATATTACTGTAGACAAAACAAAATATAAATGTTTAAACTATCATCACAAGTCACATAGGTAACTTCAGTTAAAACCTCAACGGTCAACATTAAAAGAATAGAAAATTATGTTCCGCACAGTAATATAATCCAATAATCTACCAGTGTAAAAAGTTTTTGTCTTCTGTTTTGTGCATACTGCATAATTGAAAATCTTGATCTATGCACAGAATATATAAACTACATAATTAAAGAAACAAAACAGATCTATCGATTCTTAACTAAACCACAGGTAAACGTACGAATGTTGAATGAAGCAAAATATATAGATAGGTGTACAGATACTCTTAAAATTATTGAAAACAGCTGATTTGCCCGTATCATCCCATCTGCTTGTGTTTTTGTTCAACTCGGCTCTACCCCGATTCAATAACGGAAGTGGGGCGCAGACTGGGTGCGTCCTTGAGCTTATGAATGCCGCCGGATATTATTATCCATTTTGTCTTGCACTACAGGTAGGCTTAATGAACCATATTGCATAGGTTTTAGTTAATATTTTGAAAATATATGTTTATTTACTGTCTGTCATATAATATGTTTTTTTTAAATATCTTTATTCATATAAATTAACAAGTACACGTATGAACGTCAAAAAAGAAGTTAAATTAATTGTAAATTTACATTTACTACCAGTTCGCAAGTCAAGGGCGTAGAGCGGGCAAGAAATTTTCCGCCACTCTTATTAATCGCTAAGTTTTGAGTCATACAAATTGTTTGAACTGGAGCAAATCAATCCCAAAGATTAGGATCATTTAAGTATTCGTCAATATGTCGTGAATATGATTTGGCTGAATATTAATTAATATATCATTTAACTGTTATTTATTGTTATCATAATTAGTTTATTTGTTATTTAGGTATGTTTATTATTTAGCTAGCACTGAACATTTCATTTAATTTTTGAATGTGACTTCGATTTTGCTTGCAGTTTTAGCAGTTCAGTACTTCGTTAAATAGTTCAAAGCATCAAAACCATATCGGTATTTTTTCCTAATTATAAAACTTGTGCATACAGCACGGATATTGTTATTGATTTTTATTTTACGTGCTTATGGGACGCCCAAAAAACAGTAATCGCCCATGGACACCTATTTTAGTGGGTAGTGTAGCCGGCTAGGAGGAGTATACTCTTTCTTTGAATAATTGGAGATAATATCTTCCAGGGAAGATGTCGACTGGGAGTAGATTCCACAGAAAGTTTCTTGTATAGCGGACCGAGGAAGACTTCCAGCCATCAAGGTGATGCTGATGATTACCAGATTATTCTGTATTTCTATACTGTAATATCCGATTATTTCTTTCTAAGTTCCATATTTGAATTTTGCTTTAAGTTACTGTTAACACGCGAGTGTATTCAGAATTCTAACGGATATCCTCCTGGGAACGTGCTTAGATTTAAGATGCCAACATCCAAAACCCATTGTTTATAATTTGATTTGTTAGAATTAAACATACTAAAAAGAACATATTTATTTAATTAAAACGGTTTGTCTAGGTAACTAAAGGTGGGTTCATCATTGTAATTATATATAAATCGTTTAAAAACTTATTTTACGCGAATTTAATTATGTATTGTATTTACGGAAATCTACATTTTGAATGATTTTCATGGTCAGTGAGATTCCCACGTCAAGTTGACAGATAAAAAATTCATAATAATGATTGAAGTCTATCAAAATGTTGTCGTAACGCCACCTATTTTTCCCCAAGCTGAAATTTTCCACAGACTGCTGAATCTCTACGAAATTTACTCATTGTATGCTAATTGTGTCTTGTTTTTGAGTGTTACTGAATGCCACGCTTAAAATATCTGTAACTTCCGCCGATTCACTGACACCTTAAGTACTTTAGAACGTCATTTATTCACAACTTTATTCGTAATAAAATTGGCAAACATTAATTTCATGTAATCATTTTATGTGCAATTAATTACGGATTAGTGGATAAAGAGACATTGAAATTAACCTTCACTTTAAGTCGAATAATACGCAATTAGTGTTTTTCGTTCGCCTCATTTGCTCTGAGAGTATTACAATATTGTAAAGAGGAAATATTTTTGTACATTTGTAAGAAATAAACTGGTAAATAACTTGACGGATTTCAAAAATTATGTTACCATTAGAGGTAATGTATCTTAAACGCTAGTTCCTTCCAGTGTCTTTAACAAATTGGTTAGGTTGTTTGTCATTAGATATTTATACGGGTTATATTTTTATTGTTTATAAAACTAAATGAGGGTAGAATCTAAAAAAAGTTGTTGCAATTGGTTAGACTATAGTAAATGTGAACTTCGACAAATATTTTTTAAATCTTGTGGATGAGAAACTTGAATTTGAGATATGAATTTATTGTCATTAAAATATTAAAAGTGTCGAAAATTAATACAAATAGTAAATTTAATTTTTTAAAATTTATTTCTTCTATAATAAAAACTCTTGGCATTTTAATTTACAATTCGTCATTTGAGATTTCAATAAATTATTTTGCATAAAATATAAAATACTAATATTTCATAAATTCTCTTTACGAAATTTTAATTTTAAAAATGGAATTTCTATTATTCGCCCTTCTCACTCTCTCAATCGGTCTCAATCACTCTCTCTCTTTTCTTCGACAAAAACGCTGCACATCTTCGTGACGATAATATTATTATTATGGCGTTTCATCTGTAAAAATGTTATCCTCATGCGCTTAAAGAAGTTTCACTTCAAAATATTAAAAAAACAATTTTTCAGCTTTGCGAGCCCGCAATAGGTCGCTATTATATTGCGTTCGATACATATTTATCCGGACCAGGGACCACATAAAAGCACTTTGAGTGACCATAACGCGTATAAT